AAAATGTTATTTATTTATTCAATTTGGATTTTCTGATAATTTCTTTTTTAATTTTATTTTTAATTGAAGTGTAATGATTCAATATGTTTTTGTTTTTAATCTGTCATCTTTTCTTTTTTTTTAAGTAACATTTTATTTTTTCTCATTTTGTTTTTCTCCTAAAATCTTGGAAATTTTTATTTTTGTCATTGCTATAAAGATTTGTCACATGCATAATCCAATTTATTACTGAAAAACAGGAGAATATTTTTACTTTCTCTAGCTTCTGCGGCAATCCATACAATTTAGGGCATAACCTCCACCGATATTGCCACCAGTTTAGGGCTTGGTGATGGTAGCAGACATTGTAACAAGAGGTTTAAAGAATGAAGTAAACAAGGATTCCATGTGAACAGCAATTGATGACAGGTCAGTCAGTCCTAAGAAGTGGACTCCTTTATTTCAGTAAAAATGATGGGATCCTGAAGTGGTTGACCTCAAGCGACCTCAGGTCTTTGCTAGAGACAAGGTGGTCCAAGCCCATCTTATAGTGGTCCCAGTGGGAACACAGACCCACTCTGTGTTTATGTCTGGAGCTCCAACGTGCGTAACAGAAATAGGCATTCTTGGTGACAGAATCCTTGCATTGGCTTTCTGCTTCTTTCTATCTCCAAGTATAAACCCCTGGAATATAATTTCCCTATCAGTATAGTGCAGCCAAAGTAACAGTGCATCTCTAATGGTCATGCATGGATTAAGGTCACCATAAAAACTTGGACGATACAGAAATGTTAATTTCTATTACATGTTCTACTCAATTTACTTGTTTTGCCTGAAGGTAGATGTATCCTGGACACTGACAACGACGTTTATAAATTGTTTAGGTGATGACTTCAAGTGTACCTCTTGTTTCAGATTCAGTAAAGTGACTGAGAAAAGAATTATATCAGTGTCTGAGAATCCAGGCCCTGAAACATAATGGTATCGGCCCCTCCAAGTGAAGGACAAGGTGGTAAATCTATCACTACTAAGAAACTCAGTGCTTGAAAGGACTTTTGAATTCTGGAGGCAACACTTAGCAACATTTAAGTTAACTGCTCTGACATGTTAACTGAGTCAACCAAAAGGCTGCCAATTTTGAGAGGGATTCAGTGTGAAAGATTCCCATGTTCAGACTGCTGTGAAAGTCACTTTGCTATATTTGTGCTTTCAAGCCCAGAAGACCACACAGAGATGCTAAGTGGAGCCTCAGTAAAGCCCAGGTAGGAGGATTGCAGCCAAGATACCCACAGTTTTGGAGCAAATCATTACACTGTTTTTGTAGGCAATTATTCACCTTTTTGAGAAATTGATCCTGACTAGATATTAAGGCCTAGTAGAAATCAAAAACCTGAACCTAGGG